AGATCGGTGAGCCCAGCAGGGATTTGAAGGTGACCTTTCCCCCACAATAACCTGGTTGCCCTTCTCCCAAGAGAAGAGACCCCCAAATGGTGCGATGAAATATTAATAAGTAATTATCAAAATGTTAATAGTGAAATTAAAATATCAATCTAGAGCAGCGGTTCTCAACCTGTGGGTCGCCACCCCTTTGGGGGTCGAGCGACCCTTTCACAAGGGTCGCCTAAGATCATCGGAAAACACATATATAATTACATATTGTTTTTGTGACTAGTCACTATGCTTTAATTATGTTCAATTTGTAACAATGAAACTACATCCTGCATATCAGATATTTACATTACGATTCATAACCGTAGCACAATTACAGTTTTGAAGTAGCAACGAAAATAATTTTATGGTTGGGGGTCACCACAACATGAGGAACTGTATTAAAGGGTCACGGCATTAGGAAGGTTGAGAACCACTGATCTAGAGCCTTTCAAAGTTGCTAGAGTAACAGACAGTTTCTCTTTGCAAAATCCACAGGTTCTGGCAGGCCTCACACATGGAAAGTGATTTGGTTTGTACCCTTAGGGAACTGATCAGGCTTCTGCTTTGCATTGTCATACTCACCACTAGCGTGAAGGAGAGTTAGTGAAAGGAGTGAAGGAGCTGTGACAGGAAACCCATCTCGGTTTTTCCCAAGAGGCTCTCTGCCGTTGCTGATTCTGGCAAATTTTCCGTTTCCAGCCAGAAGAGTTGGAGGAGAGAATTTCCAGCGTCCTTCCCAACACTCTCACCCAGACTCCGGGGCTTACCCACCAAAGAAGTTCTTGGGCAGTGTCATGCGTGTGACCATCCCAGCACTGCATTGATGATGCATGGGATCTTGCTAGCACTGAATTTACCACACGCATGGTCATGAGTTTAACATGGGAACAGTCTGCTAGCACTAAACTTGACTTTTCTCGGGGGTGGGAGGAGGAAGGGCCACCAGGCAGGACCCGTGAGAGTTGATGAGGACATCAAATGGTGGGGACAGTTTGTGCAAGACCAAATCAGAGTATGGTTGTAAATCTGGACAGTTGAGGGCAGTCCTGCTGTGTTGAAGGGTACTTCGGAAATTTTGTGCTTTCTGTGAATTTCTGGATGAAATCAGGTGGAGGTAAAGATGAGGGTTTCTCGACGATCCCAGCTGTGACCAGGCACATAGGGCCAGAGCTGGCCGCCTGGCCAGGACACGTGGGGTTCTCTGAGGAGTCATCGAGTTGGTTCATCATAACCTCACGGGGCAGCAGGTCCTGACATGGCTCAGAAAAATGACAGGGCATTAGGGGGGTCATGTACAGTGTTATTTCTGGAAGTTTCTCAGGTAATGACATCACAGTTGTCAGAATTAGATGGGACGCCCTGTGCTAAAGGACTTTGGGAACTCCAAAGTGATTTTGTTCATCTTTGAGTCTCTTCTCTTTCACCCTCTTTGGCTGCAAATTCTGCCCAACAAGAATTAGGGGTTGGGAATGCAGACTGGTGCAGCCACTGTGGAAAACAGTATGAAGTTTCCTCAAAAATGGAACTTCCATTTGACCCAGTAATCCCACTTCTAGGAATATATCCCATGTTCATAGCAGCATAATTTACAATAGCTAAGATTTGGAAACAGCCTAAGTGCCTATCAGCAGATGAGTGGATTAAAAAACTGTGGTACGTCTACACAATGGAATACTATGCTGCTATAAAAAAGAAAGAACCCTTACCATTCGCAACAGCATGGATGGAAATGGAGAGCATTATGCTAAGGGAAATAAGCCAGTCAGAGAAAGATAAATATCACATGATCTCACTCATTTGTGGAATATAATGAGCAACATAAACTGATGAACAAAAATAGATCCAGAGACAGAGAAGCATCAAACAGACCATCAAACTTCAGGGGGAAGGCAGGGGAGGGTGGTGGTGGGGGTAAGAGATCAACCGAAGGATTTGTATGTATGCATAAAAGCATAACCAATGGACACGGACACTGGGGGGGGGGGGGGGGGGGGGTGAGGGCCTGTGCTGGGAGATGGAGGTGGCCGGGGAGAGGTCAATGCGGGGAAAAGGAGACATATGTAATACTATAAACAATAAAGAATATAAAACAAAACAAAACAAACCACATAAAAGAGTTTAAGTTCAAGCTTCCAAGTTAAAAAAAAAAAAGATTTAGGGGTGCCCTTATGGGACAGAGTGTGAGCTGTGTCCGTCCCCTCCAGCTGCTGGGTTGAGAGCCCTTGTGTTAATCACAGAAGCACCCTTGGCAGGAATAATGGTGACATACCACCCTTCTCTCCCAGCTGATTAAAACGAGCTGGTGTGACCTTGGGATTCAAGGCGAGTATGAAAGAAAAGCATGAACCACGGGGCTTCGTCTTTCATCTTCGAAGGGTGTGCACCGAGTGAGGACAAAGAGCATCCATCTGGGAGCGGCAAGAAGGTCAAAGGAAGAGGCTGGGAGGACAAGCCGCCAAATTAGAGGCAGGCTTTTTTTCCCCTTCAGAAAAGCAAAGGCCCCTGGCCTCCCTACTGGGAAATCTGAAAGTTGCTTCTGAATCTTTTATAACAACAATGTTTTGTTGTTATTTTTTGTATAACAACAATACAAATGTAGGGAAGTCCGGCTAGATCAGCGGTGCTCAACCTGTGGGTCACGACCCCTTTGGGGGTCGAACGACACTTTCACAGGGGTCGCCTAAGACCATCGGAAAACACATATATAATTACATGTTGTTTTTGTGATTAATCACTATGCTTTAATTATGTTCAATTTGTAACAATGAAATTGGGGGTCACCACAACATGAGGAACTGTATTAAAGGGTCGCGGCATTAGGAAGGTTGAGAACCACTGGGCTAGATATAATTCCTCAAAAGATTTTTACATAACTCTGTGCATCATAATGATTTCATTTGTATGCAGTAATTTCATAGGGGAAGAAGCCACATGGCTGTCCCCCTCCCCACTGAGATAAAGGAAGCAGTTTTGCCTTAGGCCATATTTCCTTAGTGTTGATGAACATCAAATGTTCCGTGGTAGGTAGTGGAGCTCTTGGCTGGCACGGCTTCTGGAGGAAATTTGGTGTATTTTTCCAGGGCCTCCATCATCCTCAGGGTAAGGCGGGTCCTCCTTTGTGCCCACATCCAGAGCTCTTGATTTACACCTGTTATAGTGTTATCACCCTGGGGCGTCCCATCCCATTCTGCTTCTCTCCAGCACTCAGAGCAGCTACTGACTCATTATTGCTTCCATTGACCCAGAGCAGCTGTGCAGAGGACCTGGTGTTAAAACTTCCTTGGCACCGTAGAAAGTCCAATAGGAAATCATTTTGTTGTTGTTGTACAGATCAAGGCTTATGCAGGCACAGCTGCCACAGGTGGCCCCAAGTTCTTCTTTAATAAATGCATCATAAAATGCCATCTATTGTGGGAAAGGCCAAGGACATCTGCTGGCTTTGTCACATCTGCACCCACAGCACCTAGAGCAGCTCAGGTGTCCGGAGGCATTTATTCAACCCACTGATAAGTCATAGCCCCGCACCTCCTTTCCAGATGGGGAAACTGAGGACCAAAAAGGTGACCAGTTCAGAGATCCCCCCAAAAGGACTCAGGAGACAGCTCTGATTTGCAATGTCGGGGGGCTGTTTTCATTTCGAAGCAACACAGAATGGGGCTGGAGTGGGGGTGTGAGGGAAGGGGCTGTGTTCAAGGCAAGCCCGGGAACCGGCCGGCCTCCTTTCACCTTGGACAGCAGCATGGACTGCACCACCTGTCTCGGCATCTGTCCCCTTGTTCACATCAAAACTGAACTCAAAGTTCTGGGGTGTCCGGGCAGGCAACGTTTCTTACCAACTCCCTATACTTAGTTGGATATATAAATAATGCAGACTCACAAGGATGGAGAGGGAGAGGGCCATATGGAATACAGTCACCGGTGAGCCTGACTGCATTATTAATGAGTAACTCAGCCACAGGGAGGGAACCAACCTAAGTCACGTGGGGAAACAGGTTTTGACCATATTCTCTAAGGCTAGAGACAAAAAGAACTGCGCACAAATATTGAACTCTAGATAGTAGCTTGTTTTTCACAAGGTTTGGGTTAGTAATTCCCAAACTACTTTAATGCACATTCTAGGGCCGAGGAAATATGTATATTGTGGCTCATGAGAGTCGAGTTCTCATTGCTGGAGAGAGGAGTTGTGATAAGGAAAGTCATGAACGTGGTTTTGAAAGGGTTGGAATTTGAGGAAAGGAGACAGGATTCTTTGTATGATTTTTGCTATTTGTTTTGGTAAACTTGAAATTATTTCACAAGCAAAAATTTAAAGAAATGGCCAGCAACTGTAAGAAAAGGTCACCAACCGCAGGTTGGTAAAGCGTAAAAGGTTAATACTATGAAGTGTTGTTTGGGATCTAAGGAGATGGGTGTTAGACTATCAGGGAGAGGGAGTCCAATTGGCCAAGCCCCTTTATGGGGCAACGCAGCCTTCTCGCTCAGAGTCTAAGAGCAGTGATCCTAAGTGGGTCCTATCTGAAAGTATGGGTTCTTGAATGTTCCAGGAATCTATCCTACTCATACATTAACACAGATTTTATATGGAGAACAAATTTAGGGTCTTTGTAGCAGAGTAAGTAATAGCAAGAAATTGTAAACCATTTAAATACCCATTGTAGGAGCTGGTTAAATAATCTCTGATTATTCGTGAGGATTGTGCAGAGGGGCGGGAACTGAAGATCCCCACCCACACAACAGCCTATTTATTGTGTGAAATAAAATCAACAAGAATGTGCCTTGTATGGGGTGAACTCTGGCCCAGGGTCTGTTCGAGGCTGTGAGTCACTGAGGACAGAGGTGGCAGGGAAGAAGTGAGAATTCTGCAAAAGGCACGGCTAACATCAGGCGGGACTTGGAACTGGTCTGCATTTGAAAACAGGTTTTTGTTAAGCACTGGACACCCACACCCTCCTCTCGTCTTCTGCTTCCAGCTGGTGGCAGCCATTGTGTTTATCAGCTTCGGCGTGGTGGCCGCCTTCTGCTGTGCCATCGTGGACGGCGTGTTTGCCGCTCGGCACATAGTGAGTTCCATCTTTTTAATTTTGCTCTCAATCGCTTTCCTGGGTGTGAAAGACCTACATACAGAAATAACTTCCCGGAGCTCAGAGACCTTCCCTGCTTCTCTCTCCGTTTCTGTTTGTCAATTGATGTCCTTCCTTCTGTCACTTTTCTTTATTGCCTGCAACACACACACACACACACACACACACACACACACACACACACACACACACACACGTGTGCGCACACACCATCCCATCAGTCAGAATCAAAGTCTTCAACTTCCCAAGTAACTTTCCTCAGGTCATTCTTTAACAAGATGAAATACATCCCGAAATCTGCTGACTCATGCCTTCCCAGGTTTTATAGTTTAAATCTGTTTATCTTAAAAGGTGATGACAGCCCTAGCTGGTTTGGCTCAGTGGATAGAGCGATGGCCTGCGGACTGAAGGGTCCTGGGTTTGATTCCGGTCAAGGGCACATGCCTGGGTTGCAAGCTTAATCCCCAGTAGGGGGCGAGCAGGAGGCAGCTGATCAATGATTCTCTCTCATCATTGATGTTTCTATCTCTCTCTCCCTCTTTCTTCCTCTCTGAAATCAAGTTTTTTAAAAAAAGGTTATGACAGAATTTTCCAGCTTGACACTGTAACCTGTGAAATCCTTATAGGTTTGCCTAATGGTGTGGAAGCCTGAGATGGAAGATTCTGTCAGTGGTTACAGTTATGTGCCACATAATGATGTTTCAGACAGTGACCGAGTGCATGTATGAGGTGGTCTCATAAGATTACAATGGAGCTGAAACATTCCTATTGCCTAGTGACTTCATAGCCGTCGTCATGTCATAGTGCAACGAAGTACTCACATGTTTGTGGTGATGCCAGTGTAAACAAGCCTACTGTGGTGCCAGTGGTAAGACTGAGACAGAGGAAAACACAGCAGAACCTCCCAGGTCCTGTGGGCTGGAGAGCCACCTGGAAGAGGTGAAGGCCTAACACCCCCAGCCAAGGCCAGAACTGCACCACAATTATCCTTCTAGGTCAGTGGTTCTCAACCTTCCTAATGCCACGACCCTTTAATACAGTTCCTCATGTTGTGGTGACCCCCAACCATAAAATTATTTTCGTTGCTACTTCATAACTGTAATTTTGCTACTGTTATGAATCATAATATAAATATCTGATATGCAGGATGTATTTTCATTGTTACAAATTGAACATAATTAAAGCATAGTGATTAATCACAAAACAATATGTAATTATATATGTGTTTTCTGATGGTCTTAGGTGACCCCTGTGAAGGGGTCCTTCGACTCCCAAAGGGGTCGCGACCCACAGGTTGAGAACCGCTGTTCTAGGTTATTCACTGTTTGTCGAATAAATATTTACATTTATAGCACTTTTTAGGAAATGGTGTATACTTTGTCCCAGACTTTCCCCCCCTTGTTTCTTATTTTTGGAAAGTTAATTGATCTAGGAGTCCCTGGCCCATATTTGTTGTCATGGTTTCAGCACACTGTTTGGTTGGAACAGAAAGCATATCCTTTGATCCGAACCTGATTTCCCATCCAGTGCTAAGTTACTGAGGTCAGCAGGTTGCTGTGGTGTTGGACTGTCATACCTGCATTATCTCAAGTGTCACTCAATCAGCAAATATTGAACAAGGGCCTCACTTGAGCTGGGAGTGCAAAGATGGACATGCCTTGGCCCTTTCCTCAAGGAGCAAGCGTCCTATTGCTCAAGCCATGCCAGCTGGGGGTTGACAATGCCAAGGTCTTCTATGGAGACAATCCATGTCTGCCCTCAGGGCGCTGGTGTGGGAGGAGTGCCCGGAGACAGATGTGCACTTGGGGGCAGTGTTAGCGCATGGACCTGGACATCTGCTTACAGGGGCATTTGAGTGATGCTACCTGACCTCGAGCCAACTGGTTTCCTCTCACCACGAGGCAGCCCATGTGAAGCCCGGGGGGCATGAGAACCCTCAGTACCAGGACCAACTCGGACCGCGTGTCTGCGGCTGCTCACAAACCCATCCCTCTCTCTCAATGGAGATGGAGAACAACTGGTCGATATAATTTCTTAAGACCATTTTCAAAATGAGATCATTTTAAGGTTTTTACCTTCCCCACCAAATTAAACGCTTGGGTCTGGAAGGTGGTTTTGGGAATCCTGGTTGTGAAGGAAAAACCAGCCTTGCCTTCCTGAGAAAGAGGGTCCCTCCTGACAGAGGGGCTCCCAGCAGCCGGAGGTGGGTCCCGCCCTGCTGCTGTGTCACCGGCTTTCCCCAGGCCTCCTCTCCCGCTCAGCGCACACCTGGAGAAATTCTCTTAAGAGCCAGCGGTTTCCCAGGTGGAAGGATCTCCTCCGTCCAGCATGGCAGGAGTGAGGACGGAGGCGTGTGCCCCTCAGCCCCACCTTGTTTCATGGAGGAATAGGATGTTTTGAAGCCCTTCATCATTGCAGGCGAGGTCTAAATACCGCTAGATAAAAATCCAGGCTCCCGTGTACCAAACTGGCCAGGCAGCTGGTGAAGTGGAACATGAGCCCTGGCAGATCTGTCAGGAATGAGCCCACCAGTCTGTTTCCACCCAGTCAGTGATTCGGTCAGGCCTGCTGAGCTGTGGACTCTTGGGGTTTGCAGGCCATTGCAGGAAAAACAGGAAACAGTGGAGTTTGTGGCCATCACTGGGCCTCCTGTGCCAGTTCAGGGAGGACCTGCCTTTCACAGAGCAACGTTGTGGTCGCCCCAGAGTGTGTTAGTGGCTACTTTGGGGCATCGTCAGTGGCTGATGGCACTCTGATCTCGGACTTCAGCCTTCAGAATTGTGAGGAATAAGTGTGTGCTGTTAGGCCATCCCACCTGTGTATTTGTTCTAGCAGCCCGAGCTGACTGAGACAGAGCTAATGGGAAGAGGCTCTCTGAGACCTGGGCAGTCAGCTCTTGAGCTGGACTGGACTTTTAGACCAGGAAGGCATGAGGGTGACTTTTGGTGACTCATGAACAAGGACCCTTTCAGCAAGGCATCACCGTCCAGTCCGGAGGGGCATTTCCCCGTGATTACAGGCACGAAGGAGAACGCCTGTCCACAGGTCATCCACCAGAACCCGAAGCTTGTCGCCTGCACATGATGCAGCCATGTGGACTGTGCAGGCACCGGCCTGACTCACTCGGACAGACACTGAGCTGGAGCTGCAGATGAAAGAGCCTGGCTGGGACGATACCAGGAAGTGAAGGGAGGAGTGGAATCAGGCAGGGGGCCCCTGGCAGAGGATCCTTCTGGGGTATAACCGACCTGGTACAGCAGCCGCACCAGGTTTCTCTCCACAGCCCTTTCCACCACCTTCTACGTTCCACACACATTTCCTGTGCCCTGGCGTCTGTCTTCCTGCAGGAAGATAGATTCTGTGAGGAGAGGGACTCGGTCCCATCCCCCCAATTGCCATAGCGTCCAGACCAGGCCTGGCTTGTGGTAGCCCAGGCCGTCAGTAGCTGCTGCCCAGGTGAACAAATGTGTGACTGTTCCTCTCTGCTGCCATTGTCATTGGTAGTTTTTTATACTCTTTTCTTAGGTCAGAAGTAGGACTACTTTGAGAATTACAACTGATGTAACACAGTATTAAACCTAAATATAGTTGTTGAGATTCTAACTCATTTTATAACTTACAGATTATATAGTTTTACTAGAGGCCCAGCGCGCACGAAATCGTGCGCAAGTAGCTCACTTCTGCTTGCCTCTGCTGGCCGCCCTGCCCATTGCCGCTCGAAGCTTGCTGCCCCGCCTTCTGCCGCTCATAGTTCTCTTCTGCTTGTAGCTCTCCACCACTAGTAGCTCACTGCTGTGCTGGCAGCCATCAGCCTGGCTTGTGGCTGAGCAGTGCTCCCCCTGTGGGAGCGCACTGACCACCAGGGGGCAGCTCCTGCATTGAGCGTTTGCCCTCTGGTGGTCAGTGTGTGTCATAGTGACCAGTCATTCCCAGTCCTTCTGCTCTTAGGGTCAATTTGCATATTACCCTTTTATTATATAGGATGGCATTTTATAGCTGTTCTCTACCAGAGAGTCTAAACACTTTGTAATTGTCAGGTGTTTTTTTTTTTCTTTTCTTTCTTTTTTTTTTTTCTGTCTTCTTCACTAATCCCCTAAGGGCAGGAACTACACCCTTATAATTTGGCTCCGTGTCTGCTCCATGGATGTTGGGGAGACTCATGGATGAATACTTACGTAGGACTACAGGTGGATGTATGCTTGGGTGGTTGGTGGGTGGGTGGATGAGGATGATTGAATGGATTGATAAAGAATAGATAGATGGAGGGATGGAGGATAGATGGATGGATGCATAGAAAATTGAATGATTAAATGATTAGGTGGATGGTTGGGTGGGTGGGTGGCTGATTGGCTGGATGAGTAAATTAGTCTGAAATTCATCTTGCTCCCTTCCTAGTGGAAAAATATGTTTTGCTTTCCAAGAAAGAGACAGGAGCCAAGGGGTCAACTTGTTGAGAGTTGTAGGAGGGCACCTCAAAAAGTCTTGCAACCCCTCCCGTCAGCTGCCCTGTGCTGACTGATGAGACATGTGTCAGCCGAGCCTGCAGGGACAGGGTGCCTGCTCCCCTGGGGCCTTCTACTCACCTGCCTCTGGGATGCAGGAGCCGGCTGCTCTGGAACGAGGTGTGGAATTTCCTGCTAGGTGTTCTGCATGGGCAAGCTGTTAGTCGGCATTGGTGTCTCTCCTGTAGAGAGGCCTGGAAATGGCAGACAGGTCTGAAACTGCCTCCGGCCACTCCTGGTTTAGAGAGGAAACTCTGAATCCCGTTGTGTGTTTGTCTCTAGGAGACAAGACCCCTCACCACGGGAAGATGCCAGTTTTACTCCAGTGGGGTGGGATACTTGCCCGACGTCTACCAGACGGAGGTAAGCAGGAGCACTGGCTGATGTGCCTGGCTTCACTCTGCTCATCCGCGGATCCCACCGTGCCTGCGTCCCTAGTTAAAATCCGAATGTCTGGGTTCTTACAGTTCTCCCTGTCACGTCTGCCCTCTGTGCCAGGGTGAGACTTTGTTTTGAGCTAGCTTTGACATCTTAATGTATTGTATTTATTCTGGAATCACAGCTGCCGACTTGTTGTCTTTGACACACAACAGTCCTACAATTCACTAGTCCAGTTCGCTGTGGCCTATCTGATGAGCCTTTGATTGACTTAATAGCTGCAATAAAAAGCTAGTGCACTACATTTGCGTTGGCCAAGAAACTCCTCCACGATCCCCGGGCCAAGGACATCTGCAGGGTGATTTCATTTCTATTTCTAGCTGCATGAAATGCCAGGAGTAGCAAAGTGCCCCACGGCATGCTGTCCTCTCTCAGACCCAGGAGCACTCAGCTCCCTTCATCTGGCTGTGTCACTCCAGCTCTGCGCAGATTTGCTGGTTTAACTCAACACGGGCTCTCAAACTGCATACAAATGTCAAAGAAGAGTCAGAGTAGCCAGGAGAAGCAGGAGAAGCAGGAGAAGCAGGAGAACACCAGAGGCAAACAGCATGGTTAACGTCCTGCAGGGCGGTTGAGGTGCTCCGAGAACCATGGGAGGAGAAGGTGCATTCTGGATGCTGTAGCATGAGGCCCTGAGTGGCCAGTGGCCAGGTCCCTGCTGCTGGCCTGAGGCTCCCTGTTGCCCTCTCCAAGCAGGTGGCACAGTTCTCCTCCAAAGGCTGGTCCTGGCATGTGTGGCCTTTCTCCTGGCCGGAGGGAGCCTTGGGGACCTGTCCTGTTCAGAGTGGTCATGGGCTCCCCAGGCCCTCCATGTGTGCCCCTGCCCTCCAAAGGCCCTGGCGCTGCTCTTCCCTTCCTTCTACTCAGGTGTTCAGTCCAGTTCAAGGTCAACTGTTACCCTCTGCTCCTGGGATCATGGAGGAGCATGGCCCCCTCCTGACCAGATGTGTCAGACTTTTTGATGACCAGCCCATATGTGGGGCTGCCACAGCTCCACCCCTCCACCAGGGCTTCTCGAACCCCCTGCCCATAAGACTCGGCCCAGGGTCTCATCCTAGGGGGGAGGTTTAGTGGACCTGGGGATTTAAAAGCTTCCCGAGGCCCAGATGGTGTTGCTCAGTGGTTGAACATCAACCAGTGAGCCAGGAGGTTATGGTTCCATTCCCGGTCGGGGCACATGCCCGTTTTATGGGCTTGATCCCCAGTGGGGGCGTGCAGGAGGCAGCCGATCAATGATTCTCTCTCATCATTGATGTTTCTATCACTCTCTCCCTCTCCCTTCTTCTCTGAAATCAATAAAAATATATATATATATATATATATATATAAAATAAAAGCTCCCTGAAGATAATGGGAAAGAAGCTGCCCTACATAGTTCAAACAAGGGGCCAGCAACGTTCTCCATAAAAGGTCAGTAGTATTTTAGGATTTAAAAGTCAGCTACTCTGTCACAGCTACTCAGCTCTGTCTCTCCGCTGCCCTGTGGGAGCAGCCACGGCGATGCAGCCACGATCTAGTGCGGTGGTTCTTGACCTTCTGTCCTTTTAAATACAATTTCTCATGTTGTGACCCGACCATAAAATTATTTTCGTTGCTACTTCATAATTGTAATGTTGCTACTGTTATGAATCGTCATGTAAATATCTGATATGCAGGATTGTCTTAGGCGACCCCTGTGAAAGGGTTGTTCGACTGCCAAAGGGGTCTCAACCCACAGGTTGAGAACCGCTGATCTAGTGGGTGGACTGGGCTTGGCTCCAGGCCCCTAGAGGCTGACCCTGGTCTAAGCCACTGTCCCCTGTTATTGCTCTCCACACTTCCTAGGAGGGCACACCTCCCAAGAGGGGGCACCTAAGGTTAGGGTCAGGCCTTTTGACCTCCAACTCCCCATGCCGGGGCTCTGACCTTCCCACGAGCTGTTTGCTGGGCTCAGAGCCGCACCTTGCCCTTGCCCCCTCGTTCCCCGTGCCCTGTGCCTGCTCGGGACTGTTGTCTTTCCAGTCCTCCAGTGTGACCTGTCACGCCTCCCGGCCCCAGTCTCCTTCCGGGTCTGAGTCACGCTGGTGCTACTTCCATGGTTCCCTGGCCGGTGTCTGGTCTCCTCCCCATTGGGACTGTTTCCCAAGCCATTTCCAGAGTAATCTTTCTGCAACGCTTCTCAAGAGCTCTGGAGTGCCCCATTGCCAGCTTGGGTGGTTTCCAGAAGTTAACCACAGAACTCGGAAAGGAAGGCCATGTGCCCAAAGGGTTGCTTGAGCTTGCCGACCCACTGGGGCCCCGGAGAGGCTCTGAGGACCTCTAGGGCATGGTGTGCCCAGGTCTCTGCCCCTCAGAGCCACGTCAGCTCCTGCAGAAAGAGCTGGGAGAGTGCTCGAACCTCCTTCCGTCACTTGGTGTACGATCCTCCTCCCTTCGAAGCTCTTTCCCCCCAAGTCACTGTCTTCTTTCTGAAGTCAGTGGTCTCTGCCCTGCTTACCTCCGAACTATGGGTGGCATGTCTCAGGCCCCCACATCGAATAGCACTGGGGGAGGGAGGAAGGCATGTGTTTTTCCCTAATCTTGCTTTTTTTTTTTTTTTTAAATCAAATGTTCTCCAAACATTTGTAACCTGAGGGGAGGCCCCTGTGTGGGTTAGGCAGCTGGTGGCTTGGTCAGGTCAGGCTGCTGGGAGTTGTTCTCTGTGTTGTTAGGAAGGGTCCTCCCTGGAGGGGTCTCACCTGGAGGAGGTTCACCCTACCTGGAGGTTCCCCCACCTGCAGGAACCCCTGCCTGGAGGGATCTTTACCTGCAGGAATCTGCCTGGAGGCATGGTGCTCAGAACCCTCTTCCTTTCCTTGTCTATCAATCCTTGTCCGCCTGGACACCCTGTGTGACTGAGCCTGGTCCTCTAACTCCTCCTGCAGGGCAGAGTCTTGTCACGCCCCAACCCCGAAGCACCTGGAATAGGGCGATGAAGGGGGAGGCCAAGAAATGTGGGCTCAGGAGGGAGAACTGCCTGATTGACCAGGGTGCAGCCCTGCTCACCCTGGGGAGAGAATGAGCAGGCACACAGGGGACAGGTCCTTGAGACCCGGCAAGGCCTTTCTGCTTGCAGGTCACCTGTCACTCCCTCAATGGCAAGTGCCAGCTGAAGGTGAAGAGCAACACCTGCTATTGCTGTGACCTCTACAATTGCCAAAGGTGAGTCCAGCAGGGAGTGGGGTGGGGGGAGGGTGCCTCATGGGAGGAGGGGAGGCAGCCCCTCTTCTCATGCTTCCCTCCTCCCCCTTCTCTGCTCTTCCCTGTCCTTGGACACTGCACCTACACCATCACCTGTAGTCTTTATGTGAGGGAAGGGAGTTAGCTCCATTTCACAGATGAGAAAACTGAGGCTCAGTGATGTGGTGAGGTGTGGGGAGGGGAAGTGTTCTATAAGCCCATGATCATGTCTCTGTAGTGAGCCTGTGCCTCTGGCCTGTGGAATTCACCAGCCTTTCTTAGTCTCCCCCCCGCTCCCCCAGCTGGGACAAATGGCTAAACCGGGTTGGAGCTGGGTATTCCCCTTGATAACACTCCAGCAGGTTAGGCCCTGGGTACCAGTGTCCCCGAGACCAGGCCTTGTTGAGGCGAAAGCAGCTCTGGCTGTTTCAGAGCTATCCCTTTCCCTCCCCCTGCTGGAAGTCCGAGAGCATTTTTCTGGGTGTTTAGTGTGGGACCAGATTGAGCTCCTGAAGGTGAATCTCACAGCATGTGGAGCCTCCATGACTGGGTCCCTGCAGGTTTTAACACTCAGACTTATTCACAGCAGCTCACCATTACAGGTCTGTTTTCTACCCCGGCCCCTGGGGCCCAGGCGTTTCCGCTCCTGAGTGTGTCCACAGAGCTGGGCTCCTGTCTCCACCTGTCTGCATCTCCAATCTGGGAGCAGCCGTGTGTCCTGCATCCTCCCCTCTTAGGACCCAATACGACTTGTTGATTTTCCCGGCTATTCGGCTTTTTACTTGTTGTTGGGACCCAGTGAGAATTCCAAGCTGGAACTGAAATCCTCCCCCGATTGTCTTCTACATTTGTATTAATAGCTTGAACACTTACCTTAAAGCCAGTGGGAATTTTAATGCTTGCTCCTGGGGTAGTCCCCCCTGAATTGTTGGAAATCCCAGGGGTTTAAACTGCACCCCCTTCCCCGAGAAAAGGGTCCACGATATTTCCAAGATGAAATGGAGGAGCAGCATGTGTGTGGGTCACGGTGACTGCCCCCAGCAGCCTCCTGTGGCCAGGATGCAGGCTCCTCTCAGCCATGCTGTGGGGGTCAGGATGAAACCTCCACCAGCGCGGCTGCTTGCTGAAGGATGACTCAGTGGGGGCCCCATTGGTGGGGCGCTGGGGTCTGCATTCTCCCTGTGCAGGGCCTGTGTTTGGGGAATGGGCAAGGTGATGGTGCCATCCTCTCTGCTCAGAGCCCAGGGCTCCTTCCCTGGGTGGGGACAGCCTTGCTGCCTTGGCCTCAGGGTGCCATTGGGCTGGTGCCTCTCTCTGGCATGACCAATGGGGCCCTGCATCCTCCCAGCCCGGCTGTCACCTGGCAGGTCCTCACCTCGCAGGCACAGGTGACACTGTTGTCTCCTCCCCGTGTGCAGCACCGAGTACTCTCCCACCTACTACGAGTTCGTGGGCGTGAGCGGCTGTCAGGATGTGCTCCACCTTTACCGGCTGCTCTGGGCCTCGACAGTGCTCAATGTCCTGGGCCTGTTCCTGGGCATCGTCACAGCCGCGGTCCTGGGGGCCTTCAAGGACATGGTGAGTAGTGCCGCCCGGGCTGGGCAGCGACAGCACTCGGGACAGACCCGGGCTTCGGGGTCCACGTTCTCTCAGGCACACAAGGCAGGCCTCGTGATCCCCCCTCAAAAATGGGGAAACTGAGGCTCATGAACACCACCCGCCATACATTTTAATGACAGCCAGCCTTTGCCGGTCGTTTCTGGAAGCAGAGTCTGTCCCAGCACTCGCCTCCACCCTCTGAGGAAGAACCTGAGCCTGACGCTTAGATGTGTCTGTCTCCACCACCTCTCACCCGACTGCGTGTGCAATCACCAGAGCCTCCGATTTGGTAGATCTGGAGGGGTGGGTGGTCCTGGGGTCTGCACTCTCCCAAACTCATAGGTGATTCTGATGCAAGAACTAGGGAGAGCGGGTGCTTAGCGTGTGCCGGAGCACCAGGAAGGGGCCGTGACTGCAGGGCCTCACTGTGAAGGTTGTTCTAGCTGAGCCTCCCCTCAGCATGGTTCCCTTTCCACAGGCAAATAGCCCTGCCTGGGGCTGGGCTGCAGGACCCCCCTTCTCCAGCCCTCTCCCCCTGGCACCTCTTTGTTCCAAACTAGAAATTCTCACTACCGTACCACCTCCTGCAACAACCCTCCCTTCATCCTAGAAGTGCCTCAGGTGAAGGTCCGCCCCTCAGAGTCCCCAGTTGCAAACCCCGCAGCAGGCACATAACATCTCAGAGAGAGGAGCCACCCACCATGACCCAGTGTTAACTCTAAGGCCAGTGTGAATGCGCCTGCAGGCAAGTCACCTGTCCAGCAGCTAAAGCTCTTCCTGAGTCTCTTGCTACCCAGCTATTCTGGAGACTTTGGTCATTGACCATTTTTAGTAACTGAGCCTGGAGCCCTCCCGAGATCTGTGATTTTCTAAAAGGTTTTGTTTCTCTAGATAAAATCTGAGCTAACACGGGACATCCTGGTGTCCCCTAGGACCCAAACCCTCCTCCTGGCTGCCACCCTGGAGGGGCAGATGGCCTCTCCAAGCTCTGGCCATGGTCATAAGATTCTTTACACTCATGAAAAAGACAAGCACCCTCCAGGGATGAAAGTCGCTGGTCACCATGCCTTCAGCAAAGTCTCCAGTGGGTGCCACAGCTCTCCCAGGGTGCCTGGGGTCTGCGGAGGGTCTCACAGGGCGCCCTCTGAGAAAACCCTCAGTATAGCTCTATTGGGAATGTACCGATGCTCCACTCTTTCCCATCAGACCTCAGCATTGTGTCTAAACTCTGCTCTGGACAATTTTCTTTCTCCAACTCAAAGCTCTGGGGTGCTGTGAGAAGCAAAAAGCGTGATTCCTTAACATTCTACATCCACTGAGTAATACTCTTGTAAGTTTAATGGATCTTACAATTTAAAATTATTTTAAGGCACGAAGGCCCTTCATGAACCAGCCCAAAGCTGTGTGTGCCCTCAGGTACGAGGGCTTCATATGCAGGTCACACATGCGCGTCACACTGGTGCAGAGTAAGTCCCTTTGCCCAGCAGGCGGGGCAGGGGGAGTCTGGGGTCTGCAGCGGGGCTCCTGAGGCGGTGCCTGGGCAGTGACAACACTTGCAGACAGTCATTTAAACCCTGTCTGGTGGGGAAGGGTCTGCACTGAGCCTCAGGTGTATGTACTGAGAAATGAGGTGGACAGTCCTGTTGGCCCAGCTGGGGCTCCTTCAGGTCACCCACACAGAAAGGTAGACAGGAAGCCAGGGCAAGACCAGGCAGATGCAGGCAGCCAGGGCCAAAGCTGGGCCGGGCCTCCCAGTGCCTCCTGCAGACAGAGTGAAGCTGCCCATGCCAAATGTTTAGCTCCCTCATGGGAGAACCCCCGGCCCTGCCCTGTCCTTCCTAAACCCCAAATGGCAAAAATTGCTGAGCAAGGCCAGGAGGGTTCCTTTTCAGCCCATGAGATCATCTGTGAACCTTGACCTTCAACCTCCATCACCCCTGCTCAGCCCAAGCTCCCAGGGCTCTGGCTGTAGCTGTTTCCTCTGGCCAGGATGCTCCCCTCGCCCCCTGCCCTCTGTGGGGCCCAGCTCCTGCTGTGCCAGCCCAGAAACCCCTGGGCTGTGTCCCCGGGGCTGCCCAGTAGGACCACGTCTGAGCATGGAAGCCAGTCCACCCGCTATGGCAGAAGCTGCATGGGAGGTGGTGTAACACTGCGTCACCTGCAGGGGAGGGGCCAGGGGTTTTCGTGCTTTATCAAAACAGCACCAAAGAGGGCCAGGGCCTAACTTGGAATCTTAGTGGGTCTCTGGGACAATTTAAAAAAATAAAAAGCAAAAATAAGCCCGCTTTTCAGGTGTTTTGATCTGAGGACTCGTGGCATCTCCCCCTGGCAGATCTGATAGGACCTCACCTTCCTGGATGACTTGAACATGGGGCTCCCTGGAGAGACTGCTCGAGGCTGAAGGTGCCAGGCTTTGGGGGGCTGGCTGATGCATCTCCATTCTCTGTGGCAGGTCCCTCTGTCCCAGCTGGCCTACAGACCCTCTGCTCCACCTCAGATCCTCTACAACCCTGCCCAGCAGATCCTGGCCTACTCCGGCTTCTGCCCGGCACCGGCGACCCTCCCCACCTGCTCGTCCTACCCTCTGCCTCTCCAGGTAGGCTGAGCATCACCTGCCTGAAGCCGCGGTGCTCACATCACGGGCAGCAGTCATGCGGGACAGCGCTGGTCAGACGGGGCGTGGAGGGCGGCTTGGGTTGAAGGAAGACCCAGGGCTTCCCCTCTCCTCATGCAGGTGATGTGGTGGCGGAGCAGCATGGACTGGGAAAGGGGTGGGGATTATCCGAGGGGTGATGTGGCGGTCACTCCACACACAGCCTCTCACAGGGACGTTTGTTTCACAGCCAGACTTGGCAGTTTGGGCATCCTTTGCTCCACATGGTCATGGTGACCAATTGTTGGTGTCCTTCAGGACTCTAAGCTTTTCTTTCTTTCTTTTTTTAAAAATATGTTTTTATTGGTTTTAGACAGAGAGAAAGAGAGAAACATAGATCAGCTGCCTCTTGTACGCCTTTTACTGGGAATCGAGCCTGCAACCTGGGCATCTGCCCTGACTGGGAATGGAACTGGTGACCTTTTGGTGGAATGGGACAACACCCAACTGAGCCACACTGGCCAGGGCTAACCTTTCTCAATCGACAAAAGGCCACTGCGATTTCCGGGCCAGAGCGGCTGGGGACATACCACCACATGCCTGAGCCCCGTCAGCAGAGCACAGTTATTTAGATGGAGCCATGTGAATTTGCCAATGTCCAACCACACTGCCCACAGCAACGGTGATGTCATAGATTCACCCTAAAATACTGCTCTTGGCCTTGGAGTTGTTGTGGGGCACTTGGTGGGTGAGACCTTGTTTGTAGAGCGGCATTTGCTTTGTCCTTCTCTTTCCATTTGTGGTTTCGGCTTTTCCTTCTTTATAAGCTAGGAAGCTTCTGGTTGAAATAGACCCTAATAATCTGTTGCCTTATGTACTCCAGACCTCAACCGTGGCACTACTGACGTTGGGGCCAGAGAGCTCTGAGGGGTGACGCTGCCCTGTGCATGATAGGATGTTGAGCAGCATCCCTGGCCTCCACCCACCAGCTGTCAGTACACCCCCATTGTGACAACCAAAAATGTATCCAGAAGTTGCCCAGTGTTCTCAGGGGGTCGAAGATGAGAACCACTGGTCCATACAACTTACCTAGGCTTCCATTTTGGGGTGGGGCAACCAGATGGGCTTTTTATTCTTTTGCCTGTACTACTAACAACGCCAGCAGCAAGTCCTAGGAAGTTTACAATATTAACATGCACGCGGAGTTGTGTTTCTGTGCTTGGGCGGGAGGGGTGCTGTGGGGGGCTCAGACCTGATCCTTTGCAATGAAGTCATCCATCTTCATCTATCAACTGCCGGATGCATGAGTGGTCCTTGGGGGTGGGCAGCAGCCAGGGCTCTTGGTAAGCCTGGAGCCTGACTTCGGGGTGCTGGGTGGTGTCCTGCTCTTGCTGTGTTCCCTCAGGAGATGTGCTCCTTGCAGGAGTGTGGGATGTGGCGGATGGTCTTCCATCCCTAAATCCCGGTGCTGGTGAGTGGGTCTGCTCGATTCCAGTGTCATATTCCCTTCTTCGGGGCCCTCTGGCTTTTCACAAGCAGCAGATGCCCCCTCTTCACCCTCCTGGGGGAGGCCTGGGCTCTCATCCCATTGGCCTAATCAGCTATTATCGCCAGCACATGTAGGAGTATAATTACATATAGGTCAATAATTGGATTTTGAGGAGAGGACAAATCAGTGAGGTTCCTGTGTTTCCATAGCAGAAAAACAACAGAACTGAAGCTCCTGTTTCTGCTGACAGCCGAGAGGGAGGGGACCCTGGGCGTCCTCAGCAGCAAAATGCTCCCGCACAGCAGCAGGGGCGAGACAGCTGCCGGCAGCTGATTTGAGCAGTTGGACAAAAAATTTTTTTTGAAGAGAACCCACCTTCCTTGCTCCTAGGAGTTGATTGGTCAGGAAAGTCAGGGAAGGGGTTGGTGTTGATGAGTTTTGTGAACAAGGACACAAGGAGAGATTTCGCTCACACCCTGTGATTATGGGATTTCTTGTCCACTCCCCTGATCCAGCCCTGTCTGTCAGTGTAGCTTACTCTATAGTTACTGGTGGTTTACTCCACAGTTCATGGTGGTTTATTCTGTGATTCATGGTGTTTTAGTCTGTGGTTTGTGTTGGTTTACTCTGTGGTTCATGGTGGTTTACTCTGTGGTTCGTGGTGGTTTACTCTGTGGCTTGTGGTGTTTTACTCCGTGGTTCATGGCGGTTTACTCTGTGTTCATGGTGTTTTATTCTGTGGTTCATGGTGGTTCATTCCATGGTTTATGGTGTTTTACTCCGTGGTTTGTGGTGGTTTACTCTGTGGTTTGTGGTGGTTTACTCTGTGGTTTGTGGTGGTTTACTCTGTGGTTTGTGGTGGTTCATTCCATGGTTTATGGTGTTTTACTCCGTGGTTTGTGGTGATTAATTAAGTCTGTGGTTTGTGGTGGTTTACTCCTTGGTTTGTGGTGTTTTAGTCTGTGGTTTGTGGTGGTTTACTCTGTGGTTCGTGGTGTTTTACTCTGTGGTTCATGGTGGTTAAGTCTGTGGTTCGTGGTAGTTTACTCTGTGGTTCAGGGTGTTTACTCCATGGTTCCTGGCAAGTTACTCTGCGATTTGTGGTGGTTTACTTCGTGGTTCCTTCTGGTTTACTCCCTGGTGCCTGGTGATTTGCTCTATGGTCTGGGTGGTTTATGCTGTGGTTCTCCCAGGTGCTCATTTCCAGTGAAGAGCTGGACACATACATGGTGGGATCTGGGAGCTCCCAGCAGACCCCAGAGAATGTTCTCTAGAGGTTTTCTTTGTCCCTGTGGTCAGAGTGAGTTTGAGAGAAATAAAGAAACAAAGGTGGGCAGGGGCCCTGGGCTGTCAGATCCTGAAAACTCAGGCTGTTGACCTTGAGCAAGGTGACATTCTTGGCTTCAGGGACAGCTTGTGAGGAAATCCTCCTTTCAGATCCTGAGGTCTGGGGCTCCTGGACCTCCTTCGTGGAGAAGTCTCCAGGGAAGGGCAAGGCAGACAGGTCGGCCTCTCGGGGGCCCCGGGGCACTTGGCGGGCAGAGAGCAAAGGAATTACAGCACCGCCAGGAGACCAGGGCCCTACACTCATCCTGTGGCATTTCACAGCAGGGCCTGTGTGCTTTATTTGTTTAAAGATCGGTTTTAAGTAGGCATTTTCAACTCTTAGAACTTGAAAAAGAAAAAAGTGTAACAGGTTTGTTGGCAGATGGAGAAAAACTGAAAAAACTTTTTTCTTCTCAATCACTTTTACTTGAGTCTACGTCAGGGTTCTCCAGAGAACCAATAGGATGGATGGATGCACATATATGTAGACATAGATGTAGATTAGACATTGAGACAGAGAAATAGAGAGACAGGGACAGAGCAAGGTGTCCTGGGCAGGGCAGGATAGCAGGCAGGAGAGCCAGGAAAGAATGGATGTTGCAGTTTCGAGCCCAAGGTCAGTCTCCTGGGAGAATTCCCTCTTCCCCAGAAACCTCAGTCTTGTTCTCTTAAGGCCTTCAACTGATTGGATGAGGCTCACCGACATCATGGAGAGTGACCTGCTTTACTCAGTCTACTGATTTCAATGTCAACCTCAAAATGCCGTCACAGCCACTTCCAGACAGGTGTTCGACCAAACATCTGGGCACTGAGGCCTGGCCAAGTTGTCACATAAAATTAATCATCACACTCGGTGACAAATGCTGAGCTCTTGGGTTTTTCCGTAAAGTGTGACATGTTGGGTGAACCCAGGGGTCCCCAAAAGAGCTGGGCAGCCTTCTCCTTGGACATGTTTGCCCTTGAAAAATGAGACTCCCGCACAGCAGGCGTGAGGGCTGGGAAGTCTGAGGAATTCCACAGCTGGGTGTTTCCACAGGCGATGGCAGGAGCGGACTTTGTGGAAAGGAGGCCCCCGCTGGGCAGGGCCGGGCCTCCCCCTGGCCTCCCTGAGAACTCACTCTGGTCAGAGAGTGTTCCCACCCCAAGGGCCTCGGTTAGGCGGGCAACCCTGGGTCTGGGGGAGCCCGAGCCCCAGGTGGGCTCTTTGAGGGGTGCTCCACGCGAACTGCGTGTGGCTGGCCCTCTCCACGGACTGAGGGAGCCTTTTCTGTTCCATTGCAGCCGTCCAGCAGCTTCCCAGCCTCGTCCTCCACTGACCTCTCTCTGTCTGAGGACACGCAGCCTCCGTCCCAGTCCAGCTCCAGCTTCGGGCTCCCGCCCAACGCCCCGCCTCTCTATGCTCCAGCCCCTTTCCTCCCTGGGGAGAAGCCTCCCCCCTACGCACCATGACAGGGGGGAGATTGAAAAAGAACTTCTTTTTGGTTTGTTTTTTTTAAAAAGCAGCCTCCACCATGCCTGCTTCTGTGGCCAACCTCCTAGAGACATCAGGAGAACGTTTCCGAAGTTTCTGTCCTCCTTCCCTCCCCGGGTCAAGGAGAGGCCAGGACCAGTGGTGAGGACAGAGCCCCAGGTGACCCAGGCCCGGGTGGCACCTCTGCTTGGTCGCCTCGCCCAGCGTGTAAACCAGATGCCAAATAGCACTAAAAGTTCTACCTGGAGCCTCCGTGCTCTGGTATCTGTCACCGCTTACATAAAGCTGAGTCCCATTTCCCTACATATTTCCATCTCCTCTTAACTAGGTAGTTATTACTACTATTATTTTACAAAGAGTACATGATCCTGGGGCATCCATGTGTGAGGATCATTTCAAAGTAAACATGTTGAGTGTTTATTTATTTACGTGGTTCCCCCAGAGGGGGCACGGTCTCCACTCCAGGACTGCGTTCTCCTGCATTTATTTGCTCAAACGACAAGATTCTCTGGCTCAAATATAAAGCGCTGTTTCCAGGGCCTGAGGTGACTCTGGTCTCTGTGTGTGCCTCTGTCTTTTACAAATTTGCCATCACACCTGGAGGGTTTTGCTACCTGAGGCTGCGTGCTTCTTACTTAACTTCTGGGCTTCCAACTACCATCCTTCATGGGGTGCTCTGGAGGCGCCTGGTCTGCTTGGTAGGGCACCCGGTGTGGTTACCCCACTAGAGTGGGTGGTTTCTGAGGCCCCACAGCCAGAGCCTGGGGTGCAGCCCTGCCTATCACAGACCAACAGCTATTGACTCAGGGCCCAATGTGTATCCACCTGCTGCCAAACACGCCTGAGGCAGTAGGTGAGCACAGCCCTTGGATATGATCCAGTCCTGGTTGAGTGACAGGCCAGAGTCCCCATATGCCAGTCCTGGATCACCGGGGGAAAGAGATAAGGGAGGGGGAGAGGAGGGGGGAGGAGAGAGAGGGGTGAAGGGAGGAGCGTTTTAAGAGGACAAAGTATCCTGCTCCCAGCTGCTGGCTGTGAATGCAAATCTGGCTAACAGATAAGATATTCTCAGCCCCGTACAGAAGTATCTCATTTAATTTCCTGCGCATATAGGGAACATTACCTGGGGCATCCATGTAACGCTTCCTGTAAAGAAGGGAAACACACATGTCACATAAGGAAGTGACACACGTGGAATATAGCAAACTCGGGGAGTCAGGCCCCAGGAGCCTGGCTAATTGATCTGGGAGAGGCTATTGATTACAGACCGGGAAGCGAAAGGCCGGCCCCTGGTCTGGTGAGCCGTCTTTAGTAAGAGTATCATTTTGTTAAATTTAGACTCACGTGCCTAGTGTTTTCCAGGAGACCCTGATCTGATGGTGGCCCAGCATAGCCCTGTTCTCTGCAGGACAGGTTTGGGGTCCCCCACTTCCCGTTTGCAAAGACAGGAGGGGCCCACCCTCGGGGTTCCTAAACAGGAAAGAAGGCACTGTGTTGTTAAGAGGAAAATTCCTTTTATTAGTGAGACCGTGGAGAGTGGAAGTGCAGCCCATGAAGACAGACTAACGCAGTGTGATAGCCCAGGAGCCAGCATCCGGCCAGGGGTCTGGGGAGCAGAAACCAGAGTGGGGCCGCGAGGCATGAAGGGCTGACCCTCGCCTCTGCCTGATACACCCGACTGGATGTTGGCAGTAATAGACCCTGGCAGAGCCACCAGGCCGCCCTGGGGCTGGCACGTCTGGGGTCACACAACAAGTGCCTCAAAGGACAACACTCCTCTGCCTGGAGTCTAAGAACCAAACTGCTCACGGAGTCAGGAGGCCTTTGCAATCTAAACGCTGAACCCATGGGGTGCGTTTCCTATTGCATGAGCCCCTGGACAGGGGAATCCTGTCCGCAGGAATCCTGAGTGTGCACTGAGCACCCGCTGGGCCTTGGGGGGCAGCATCAGGCCCATGCTGCCCCGCTGCTAACAGCAGAGAAGCTGAATTGCAGACCTGGCAGCGAGCCTGTGCCGACTGGACCAGGCCACCAACCCCGGAAGACAACCGGGTGCCAGAGATCACAGGGACAACCTCGTCCTCCACACATGCCCCCGGTCAGAGACACTCAGTGGCGTCAGTGTCCCCAGACTGTTCACCCCAACCCGCCCTGTCTGTCTTGCAGTCTTTTTATCTAACCTAGAGCCAAGACTGATAAAAAATATTAAGCTCCAAGGCCAATAATTTTGCTCTTGCCCACAAAAATGTCTTTCTCCCTTGCTCCAGCCACAAAAATATGTGAACAATTCAACTTCCAGTCTGGGGGTGGCTCCCACACAACCAAGCCCCGCCCCCCAGGCCCCAGAACACCTCCCCCACGCCCTGCACACTGCAGGCACCCACACCTGGTCGCCCCGTCTGCAGGGAAAGCATCTCCACCCCTGGCACACAGTGTCTGGCCACACCCGGCCCGCCGTGTGCTCTGGTGCCACGCCCCAGTGCGTGTGGGGCACCACCTCTGCCAAAGCCTTTGCCTCGCTGCAGGGGATCCAGACCTGAGTCTTGATGCCCCACAGGAGCTGGACCACAGCTCTGATGGGCACCGCCTTGGGGCGGGTGTCCTGTTGAATTTAACCCCCCTCGTTCCTGATCACAGATGGCAGTGGGTGCTGGAGGCTGGTGGGGTGGGGGTGTCAAGGAGACTGCTAATGGGCGCAGGGCCCCCTTGTGGGGCGATGGAAATATTCCGGAACTAAGTAGTGGTGATGGTGGCACAACCTTTAGTGGCCGAACTAGAACTCACCGAATTGTATGCTCTTAAAGGGTGGATATTATGGTATGTGAATTGTATCTCAATGAAAAAGGGTGGGACAGGAATGCATGTGAAGCACTTAGAGCAGCTGGGACCAGCACGTGCTCCGTTAACAGGCCACTTGCCATCACTGTCACCGTAACGAACCACCTCTGGTTGGGTCTTGAGCAGCCTGTCCTCACCCAGCACTGCTCTGCCTCCCCACTCACGCCCCGTCCCAAACTTCTGCAGCCCGATTGCCACACTCTGGGCGTGGGGATGAAAACACAGGTGGCAGGAGCAGAGATACCCTCTGAATTCTGGGGGAAGAGTTTGGCTGAGCTGATCTGATCACAGAAGCAGAAGGAAGTCCAGGGGGCATGGCCCTCACTCAATCAGCAGCTTCTTAAGTGGCAATAGTTATCTATGCCAATATTTCCCTTTTCCATTTTCTGAAACCTTTAAATCAATGAACATTGACACATCATGATCACCCAAAGCCTGCAGTTTACGTTAAGGTTCACTTTTGGTCTGTACACTCTGTGGGTTTGGGCAAATATATAATGACACGCATCCACCTTGTGGTGTGATGGGAATGTTACAGTGTCATGCAGAATATTTTCGCTCCCCTAATAATCCTTTGTGTTTCACCAATTCATCCCTCCCTCCCTCTCCCTTAACCGCTGGCAACCACTGATCTTTTTACTGCCTCTGTAGTTTTGCCTTCAACAGTACTTCTTCAAAACAGACTCGCCCAGGCCGAAAACCGACTTCTGCGCATGGGCCACAAAGTTTCAATTGCACTATACGTGCGCGCCCGCACGTGGTATTTTGTGGAAGAGCCACACTCAAGGGGCCAAAGAGCCGCATGTGGCTCAGGAGCCACAGTTTGCCGACCACGGCTCCATGTTGTTACATAGCTTGATAGCTCCTCTCTTTTTAGTACTAATGATATTCCATTGTCCAGATGTGCCACAGTTTGTCCACTCACCCACCGAAGGGCATCTCAGTTGCTTCCAAGTTTGGGCAATTAAGAATAAAGCTGCTATAGGCATCCATGTGCAGGTTTTTCTCTGGACATACTTTTCAACTCCTTTGGGTAAATATTAAGGAGCGTGATTGCTGGATCACATGGTGAGAGGATGTTTAGTTTTGTGAGAAACCACCAGCTGTCTCCTGAAGTGGCTGTAGCATTTTGCATTCCCACCAGCAGCGAACGAGAGTGCTTGAGGGCTCCACATTCGGCGTTGCCAGTGTTCTGGATTTCCGTTATTCTGGTAGGTGTTCAGTGGTCGCCTGTTGTTTTCATTTGCATCCCCGATGACATAGGAGGTGGAGCATTTTTTCATGTGTTGATTTCTCATCTGCATATTTTGTTTGGTGAGGAATCTGTTAGGTTCTTTGGCCCATTTCTTTAGCTGTGTTGCTTGTTTTCTTATTGTTGAGTTTTAAGAGTTCTTTGTGTATTTGGGGTAACAGTCCTTTATCAGATACTAGTATGTCCTTTGCACATATTTTCTCCTAGTCTGTGGCTTGTCCTTTCACTTTCTTAATAGTGCTTTTTGCAGAGCAGATGTTTCAACTTTAATGAAGTCCAGCTCATCAATTCTTTCTTTCATGGATCATGCCTCTGATGTTGTATCTGAAAAGTTATCGCCACATCCAAGGTCATCTAGATTTTCTTCTATGTCACCTTCTAGGAGTTTTATGGGCTTTGTGTGTGTTTATTGATACATTTAGGTCTGTGGTCCATTTTGAGTTAATTTTTGTGAGAGGTATAAGGCCTGTGTTGAGATTCATTTTTTTTTTTGCATGTGGATGGATGTCCAGTTGTTCCAGCACCATTTGTTGAAAAGACTGTCTTTGCACCATTGTATTGTCTTTGCACCTTTGTCAGAGATTAATTGGCTGTATTTATGTGGGTCTATTTCTGGAGTTTCTATCCTGTCTGTTCTTTTTAAAAAAATTATTCTCTGGGTCACTTTTTAACAATTTTTAAAATTGGCTCTAGAGAGAGGAAGGGAAAAGAAGGGAGGGAGAGAGAGAAACATTGAATGGCTGCCTCCTGCATGCCCCTCAACCAGGTTTCAAAGTCACAACCTGGTTATGTGCTCTGACTGGGAATCAAACCTGCCACCCTTAGGTGCATGGGATGACCTTCCTACCAACTGAGCCACACTGGCCAGGGCTAGTTGTGTATTCTGTT